ATATTACTTGACCTGATAGTCAGGATTAGCTTAGCATGCTGATATGTATTTGGCACAGTTTTATTTTGGATATGTATCTATATACCATGGCATTATTTTGAGAGCATAGGAGATGTCTATGCCATGTTCTATTTTATTAGTTATGTATATATATATGTCTAGGTTACTTATTTGATTACATCTCTTTTGGATGGTTGATGTAATCATGTAAGTAACTATATGGATATTATTTTGAGACCTGTTATGTATGTGATAGACTATGCCATGGATGGCTGGGTGTTTGGATTATATTAAACTGTCAATCAGGTTAAAATTATTATGATGGGAATTATCCCTAGTGGTCCAAAATACAGACGAAATGCTATCCGTTTTATTTTGGCCATGGAAGTGAAAAAGTTTACAATACATAAGGAAAAAGAGAAAATTTATTCAGTTAGCTTCCGCATTAATTAAGTTGAGCATGTTGCCCTTACTATCGTATGAATGTTAATTAACCGGCTGCAGACGGGGCATTACAACAAATTAGTCTAAAGAAAAAGTGAAAAACCCTAATAGAGGTAATCTGTCCTTTGTTTTGAAAAAATTATAATTGGAGTTGTAGAACTCTAAATGGAGTGTGGTTTGTTCCAAATTAAAAATATGTAAGTCTAATATAACATATCAAAATTTCACAGTAATCCAACTAAAATTGAAGACTTCATGATTGAAAGAGTGAAGGTTGTGCAGGCTATAATGAAATGTTATTTACCTTTAGCCCAAATTGAGAAGGGCATATCTCACTCATTTCTTAATGAAATGAAGTTTGTGATACATCAAATTAAAATTTAAGATGTCTAGTTTCTTGTAAAAAAAGAGTGTATTTTTATAAGGTCTGGATCATTCCCAGATTAAGAAAGTGTGGACAGTGTTCGAATCTGCCCTGTGTTGGCAGCATGTTATATTGAGTTTTGCAAATTCATAACTCCTTCGTTTCTTAATGAAATGGGATGAATCTTATTTCAAATTAAAGACCAAGGTGTCTAGTATTTGTCATAACATTTTTAGAATAAACTGGGTTGGTTAACGTTTCCAGAAAAATACAGAAGTTTCTGCTGTCTTATTTTCTGACGACGGATTTAAACAGTTTGCTTACGGCGGACGTATCTTGAGTTATACTTATCAAAATGAAGCTTATAATACTTCGTTGTAAAGCTTATGATATCTAGATTAAGATGGTGAAGTCTCAAAATTTAATAAGAACAATTCAAGTAAAGTGATTTTAAGAGCTGGATAAATCACCTGAGTAAATTGGTGAATTAACATGTAAATGTTAATTGTTTGAATTGCAAGTGACACTTATTCAGTAATTGATAGTGTTTCATTTGTGATACTAGAGTGTGTTCGGGAGCAAAAATAATGGGGATTCAAGTTGTATGTGAGTAAAGCTTCGCGGGTAAGCTCTCTGTTTAAGGAGTTTTCTTTTGGCTTATTGTTCTACCAGAATCTGGTGGGATGATGGTTATTGTCTGTATTAATAATGTGGTTGGACTTTGAAATAGTGGAATGCATATGTCAAATAAAATGTGATGCATGAAGTACGCTAATATCTAATTTAAATAATGAGTTTAACGTTGACGTATCTGTTAATATGTGAAACGATTGACGTATCTGTTAATATGTGAAATGATTTACATTCTGTTGATATGTGAAATGAATGACGTGTATGTGAATATGCAGAAATAATTGATGTATTTGTTCATATGAAAAATGATTATTTTGTCTATTAATATACGAAATAATTGATGTGTCTGCTGATACATGAAAAGATTGATGTGTCTGATAAGTTTGAATATGTATTTTGAATCTGAAATTATGATAATTTTGCATGTCTGGTAAAGTTTATGTGTGAGGTTCAGATACTTTAATATTCTGATAAATTTGACGGTGAATCAATTGTATCTCTTAAAGAGAAAAGTAATGTATACTAAATGTCTGTGATTGTTTATACAGGTAATCCTTAAAAACAGGGATACTTTGTAAATGTGTTGAATTGAAAGTACATAATTCTATAAAGTGAATTATATATAAATATACATGAAATATGAGTGAATTCCAGTACGAGGCCAATGAATAAACTGATCGTACAAGTTGAGATGATTCGATTAATGGATGACTCTAATGGAATGTGATAAGTTATTACCATGAACGCATCCAGTCCTCGGGTGATTCCGGCTATTTGTGATGTGTAGATAAATATATATGTGATTGTAGGTATAGGTTTATCTTGTATTTCTATTATGTGTTGCAATGTGTAGATTGAATGTGTGTCTGTGTGTTATAATGTTTAATGTATTTATTTAATTGATGAATTGTTTTGTGTGATGATGTGTTTTATTTGTTAATTATTGTTATCTGTTAATTGTTGTTATCTGTTGATTTTTATTGTATTGTAAGTTTTGTTGATACTATTAAAATTAATGAAGTTATCAGTATTGATTTTTTACAGAAGAATATGATAAATTAATGTGAGTATGTCTGTAAATGCTATGATACTTGGAGATATTACTCCGAGAGTATCAGGTTAACAAAAAAAAGATGAAAACTTCCGTAAGAACTGTAGCATTGGATTATGTGGAAAATTCCGTAAGGTTAATGATAAACTGTGAATGGTTTACTAAGTTAAATAAAGTTGTTTGAAAGTGGTTGTGTGTTATCTATTTATTATTTATCGTTGTGTGTTTACAAATTATTGGTAAGCTATCTGTTTAATTTAAATATGTTAAATGGCTTATCAAACTGTAAAGATTGCATGTAAATTAACCATAGGATGTAATTGAACTAGATTTAATAATATGGAATTTTGTATGTTGTGTGTTGTATGTTTTGTCTGAAAACTATATGCGTAATCTGTATATTTCTATTAGTATGCGTGTGCTGACCAATTATATAGAAAGTGAGCTTAAGAATGGGAGACTATTCTATAAACTTAGAGTTTACTGAGATTTTATATCTCACCTCGCGTTGTGGGGACACATTTCAAGTGCTTTCCCGGACGACGAAAAAAAGAATGGTTAGCAGACAGTAGGAGCAACGTGATAGACTAACGTTTGGGATTATACGTGTATGGTTGTGTTTCGAATAAATCATGTATTTGAGATGAAGATAATGTCGGTACAACTGTATATAATTGATATGAGGTTTTGTAGTTAAAGGTTTGGATATGTTACGTACAACGAAGTATGCCTATATGTTTCAAGTTTGCTGAGAGTAAGTAGGAATCTATGAATAAATTTTGAAGATGTTAATATGAATATACATGTATTGGTTATCACTTGTGCTCTGTTGTCGTGCTACAACACTCATCCAATAGCACTCAATTATATGTTTTTCTTGGGCACGTAAACATTCTTGGTCATTTTTAATTATTTCAAAAATATTAACCTAATTTATTTAAAAATAATAAAAAATAAATTGTACTATCAAATGCAGTTACAATTGCTAAATATTCAAACACTCTTTATTTTAAACAAAAAATTATGTTCTTTTTTTGTACAAAAAAAATTATTATTTTTTAAATTGTGTTAAACCATCAGTAACATCTAGTCTAAAAGAAAATCTAACGTCTTGTTTATTCTTTACAAGACAAAATAAATAGTTGATCTGTCCAGTACAATATAGGCTGACCAATTAGGACTGGGCCAAATCACACACAGTTGAAGAGTGAAGCCTTTATGTTGAAAGAAGTACTTCGTGGACTGTGGACTGATGATATCTGCTTTATGGTTGGTTGATGTTAAACTCCCTTGACGCGATGAACCAGATTGGGGGTACCGGCAATGACACTCCGACGCTCAAGTCAGTTTCCATGCAAGACTAATGTTATATTCTTACTGGAATTAGATTATCATACCTGGATATGTACCCCTTGTTTATATAGCAAGTCTTATGTCGCCTTTGGTAGGCGGTATGCCTTCTGATTGACTGTTAATGGGTTGCAGACTTATCTGTCTCAGCTGGTGCCTTTATGGCTATACTCCTATATGACGAGTTGTCTTCTTAGGGGCTGTTTGGAGCACCTGATAAAGAAGATAGGATAGGATAATTTATCATATCCTACTTTTATCTCTTGTTTGGTGGGTCAATAGGATATGATTAGCTTATCCTATTGTTTCATTTTATCATATCCAATGCATGATTTCTTATCCTATGGGGGGAGCTAGGTTAGGATTCAATAGGATATGATAACAATATTGGATACCCAATATATCCCCACGCTACCCAATATATTTGTATTATTGCATTATATTTTGTTTTTCCTTTCTCCTTTCTCCTTCTATATAATCTTATCAGATTGCTAATCAGGTGCTCATCAAAAACAGGACATGATATAGGCTTATCAGTCCCATATCATATCCTACCCTTATCAGCCACATATCATATCCTACCCTTATCCTATCCAGTCCACCAAACGAGCCCTTAGAGTAGTGGCAAGTTGGAGCTGTTTTTCGTGTATTGGCTTATAGCGCGGTGGATCTTAGTTTGTTATAGGATCATTCTTTAGTTCTTAAGTCATATAGGGCGGTTAAGCGCGATGAGATCATTGCGACTTCGGGTCTTTATGCGCGATAAAGATATTGCGCATTTCATTGGGCTTATATGTTTTTGGGCCTATTTTGGACTTTAACCCTTAGTAGGCCTATTATATTTTATTCAGATCAATACTGTATCCAATTTTAAACTGTGATTAAATCGTTTCAAACCAAAAAAAAGGATATAAAAGATAAGTGATAAAAATCATTAAAGGTAAGTGATTTTATTTTATTTATTTATTTTTCGATAAAGAGATAAGTGATTTTTAAAATTAAACCTATGTGGTTAATTGAACCTTATACGAATTAAACTAAATAGAGTGGTGTCAGTGTGACAGTTCAATAAATAAACAAAGAGTGACTGAAAGAACATGGTACATACGATAGTTGAGAATGGGAAGAGAATGAAAAGTGTGGGACCAATCAATCAAAGGTCGAGCACAGCTGTAACCTTCAAATTTCAATCTTCATTTGTAATTTTTGTTCCAGTCGATGTTGTCTTCTTCTGCCTTAAACCCCTCTCTCCGTATAATACGGTAATTTCGCTGTCTTTCTCTTCTCTCCTCAAAGTCTCACTGTTTCAACTTTAAAACACCACACTCTTTTGGGATTCTGCCCTTTCTGGATTCCCTCTTTGAGCTTCTTCACTTCCCCATATTTGCAAGATTTTCCAATGGCTTCATGTGAGTCTTCCTCTCTATTTTTCTTTTTCTTTTTTTCTTATCCTGCCCCAACTCATTGAACACCACAAAGGTTATGACTTTATTGGATTGCAATTGCTGCTTTTAAAAATTAATAATATTAATCTTTTTGTTACCCCTTTTGCATGTGCTTTGCAATATCAGAGACTGTAGGGTTGGGATATGGAATGTTGAATGTGATGCCAAACACTGATGTATGCCCTTCTTCATTTGTAAGCATATACTGAATAATTCAAATGGCATAATGTGATCTTTGGATGGCTTAAATGGGATAAACAAATAGGTTTAGAGATAAAGTTTTGGGTAATCTAATATCATGGCTTGCTGGTTTAGGTGATATTCAATTTGCTTTGTACGGACAATTGTTAGAGAATTATATAAACCATTAAAAGGCTCTCACCCAATACCTTAAGATTTTGGGTTGAAGTGGTTCTTTACATGGTATCAGAGCTTCAGTGACCACAAGGTCACGAGCTCGATCCTCACCGCCCTCCACTTGTAGAATTAAATAAGCATAAGGTAAACTAAAAATTGGACTTGTGCAATAATCCATGCTTCAAGCCGAAAGGGCTCTTGCGTGAGTAAGCGTGTTAGAGAATAATATAAACCATTTAAAAGGCTCTATCCCAATACCTAGTTTTGGGTTGAAGTGGTTCTTTACAACAATGAGTTCTAATTTTAGATAAATAAGATTGTCACTTAAAGGGTAGGGAAAAAAATTTAAACTAACCATAGGGACTTTTAATTCTAAAGGCATCAGAGTGTTGTTAAATTGTCAAGCCACATCACTCACTGCCTTCACTCTGATGTCTTTCCATCATTTTGACATTGCATTAGTAGGACTCTATTCTTTTTCTAGATTGTGGCAGATATTTCTTCTTGTCATTTAATATGTGATCCTTCTTGGTAACTGTTCTTCAAGTGATGAGTCTAAAGTTCAAAGATGGACTGCTAGTGGAAGGCCTACAATTGATTTCTGAGACATGGACATTGGTTATAATGAGTGCAAATGCAAAGAATACATGTCGAGTCTCCCCCTCTAACAATTTCTTGTTAAAATACAAACATGAAGAGTACTGCAAGTAATATTTTTCAGCACCATGATCGTTTCTACTACACTCACTTTGTTCATTTTAGTAAACTTGTTAAAGTTACATGATGTAGTCTAAGAATCTATAAGAAAATTCTATTACTTTCTTCTTTCTTTTTTTTCTTCATTATTTTTTTTATTTATATTATCAAAATATTATATGTTGTGATTACATTTTCTGCCTTCGAGAGCATCATTTAATATGCATTTGTCAGATTTTGTAACATTTTTTAAAGCAACTCTTTCTTTATTCATCCTTTGAGAATCATTCTGTTACCTTGATATACGGGTACTGACCCTGCAAATGATGAAGAGTTTGGAGTTTCTTCTCAGACCATTAAATGGTTATTTATATGTACCCCAAAAATAATGGTTATTTGTGTCTTTATTGTATCACATTCATAGGTAGCTTAGGGACCCCAAATATCAAAGTATTGAACTTGCACTTTGGGGTAAAAAGAATTGGGCTTTCACAACAGTTTGGTACAAGAAGTTGGATCAGTAGGAAGTCACTGCAGTACACTAGTTTGGTTATGTCACAGTTAACTTCGTACAATGACCCATTGTCAAAGATCCAATGTAAGTTCTTTTATTCTTTGATATTTACAAATTATTCTCTTGTATAGGCTATAGAAACTGCCATTGCTTTATTACTCAACTTCTTTAAGCGTATTGAAAATTCAAACCACCAATGGTTTCTAGTAGATCCAATGCATTATCTCTGTCCAACGTGTTATGGAAGTGAGGAAAATACTGATGTACTTATGCATTCATGCTGCAATCTGATTCACAATTTCAAGAGTATTTAAACTGACTATTTTATTTTTTGTGTAAAAACTGAAACTATTCAAAAATTAAAATACTACATAAAGCAATTGAAGTTTCATATGACAAAGACTATTAACTTGATATTTGTTCCATAGCCTGGCTTCTATGAGACTATGACATACCTTTATTGATGACATAATAGCTGTTGCAAGGTCAGAAGATGGTTCTGAAGAAATTATATCTTCTGGTTTGACAAGTGAACTTATTCCTAAATTTAGAGAGGTTAGTACTTAGTAAATATCATCATCCAATCTCTTTTCAATTGTCACCAGCAATCAGCATCTACAAAACACATCCAAATTTATGACTGAGTTTATTATGTAGTCTTCACCTATTACCTTATATGTTCATATAACTACTTCTCTAGGTTTTAGTCAGTTTCCCACCCTGTGATTTGACCTGATTTCTGTTGACCTTGTTTGGTTTATGAGTAAATTGCTTCATAATTATAAAATATTTTCATGTGTATTACTTTATCGTTATGTGTTCTGATATATTTTATAGCATATGTATGTTACCCGCAGTGCCAGTTTATCTTTGTGGTCTGAGATTGGCCAATGCCTAGCTTGAAATCTTGCTCTACATTAAGTTCTTAACCTTAAGCTATTTCAGAATTAACAAGGAAAGCGGCACACTGATCATCTTGTGCTCTCATAAGAATGCTGAAACTGTCTTACTCAAGTGCAAGCTTAGCTTAGCTGCCACCTTTCATTTGAAAAAAGAAAAGAAAAAGGAAATAAAAGAAACTATATCCCCGACTATATGGAATCTGGAAGAATACAGAAATTTAGGCTTTGTGATTTCATTTACTTGGTGTAGTGTTAAATAATATTGTAATCTTTTGTTATGCTTAAAAATCTTTTCTCTTTTATGACTCTTGCAAGAGAGATGTGTTGTAAGTCCATTTTCTACGTTATCCTTAATGGACGGAATATTTTAAGTCTTAGAATGTCACTTTTAAACCTGGAAGCACTCATGCCATGACAAAGGCACGTCTCTCTTTATGCATAGGCATTCTTCTTCTAAAATTTTAAAACATATATTATTTCAATCTCTTTGCAGGTGGAGTTCCTGCTCACTAAATTGTGTGACTCAACTTCAATTGGGGAGTTAGAATTAAAAGTAAGCACAATGAAGTTGACCTATGAATTTTATTCTCTTCATCAGCACAATATTATTCATGTTCTCTATCATAAGGACATTAGCTATTCTGTATTAAATCTTGCTTCCTATTCTTGTTTCCTTTATTGCCATCTGCCCAATCTCCAAATGGTATCAGCTTGATGGGTTTCACCTGCATGTGGTGAGAGATTTGACTGAAAAAATTAAAACTCCACCTCCTCCAATTCCTGCTTCCGTAAGTGTAAATACTTTCACAGAAGCACCTAAATCAAATGGACCAGTTTCTACATCATCATTGGCCATCTCGAAGCCAGTACCTTCTTCAGGGTCTATCCAGAGATTCCTAGACAAAGCTGCAGATGAAGGCTTGGTACTAATTCTATCTCCAAAGGTAAGAATCTAAAACTTATGTCCCTTACATTCCTGACATAATGCATTCTAAAACCATAGAACAGGTGGGTTTCTTTAGGAGATCTCGAACCATAAAGGGGAAGCGTGCTCCGCCATCATGTAAAGAGGTACAGTTGTTCAAGGCTTTTCCCTTTTCTTCCCTCCCTTCTCTTTTTCCTTTTTGGATAGTCAAGGGAAATCTTGTTCTCTTACACATAATGCACTCTAAAAGTTGTTTTCCTTTTGTCCTCCATGTTACCTTGTGTGGATAAGTGAGAAATCCGCAATATCTAAAATTTATTTTTGTCACGTAATGTTCTTTATGAAGTTTCTTTGCCACCAACAACAGACTTACAAATTTGAAGTACTTGATTTAAGATCATTGATTCTAATGACATCCATGTTGGCAATTGACAGAATCAAAAAGTTGAGGAGGGGCAAGTGATTTGTTATATTGAACAGCTTGGTGGTGAGCTGCCAATCGAGGTTTGTGCCATGACTTGAAACATTCTCTTACTCAGTGGCGGAGCCACTTGGTAACCAGCCAGTGCCTTAGCGGCAGCTGGTTTTCAAAAATGGTATATGTTTTCTTTAAAAATTATCATACAGTCTTGATAATGGTTGAGTTTTCAAAAATGGTACAACCTTGGCATTAGCTGGGTTCTACGTGGCTGGGTTTTTGGCACTGGTTGGGTTGTACTTGACTGGGTTTGTGGCACTGGCTGAGTTTATTTCCTGGCTCCGCCACTGTCCTTACTCTTCAAATTATGACTTGTGACTAATATAAACACTGCACATCACTCAGACTCATGTTTTCTTCGTATTTCTTTTATAGTCTGATGTATCGGGGGAGGTCATCAAGATACTAAGAAATGATGGCGGTTAGTTACCTCAATTTGTCTTTTGTTGTTTCAACATTAAAGAGTAGTCTTGTGTTGATGTTATGCCTCACTTTTTTAATTTTTGGTCTTCACACTTGACAGATCCTGTTGGATATGGTGACGCAGTTGTTGCAATATTGCCATCATTTCCCGGAATAAAGAAGCTTCAATAGATTTTTTGGATTTTTTTAATATAGTTCTTGCAATGCTGTAATTAGCTGATACTTTGAGATCGAGTTACGTTGTGGTCCATAGCATACATTTAGTACAATGTTTTGCATGCTGAGTTGCATTCTACATCCCTGCCCTGCAGTTTAAGTAATAAACTGGGATTTTTTTTATTTTATTTTTTTGGAATAGAAAAGAAAAGGATGAAATACCAAATCTAAGCCTTTCTCATCCATAACTATCGGTCCTGTGTTTGCTAATGTTACACTCTTGCCATTCAAATTTTCCTCCTATTTTGCTAAGGAAGGCTATATAATAGCACTCTGCACTCTTATCTTGTATTTGCAAGATGTTAACTACATTATTAGAACAAGTAATGTTGATATCACATGACAACAGCATCAAACGTTGTGTTAAGTTTGCCTTCTTATTAAGTGGTTTATTTAAAAACAAATAAATAAATGATAGGGATCAAGGACATGCTGGAAAACCCATATTCATGGAAAGCACAATAGCTGTTGGCACGTGTCAACAAAATAGTGCCATCTGGCAGAACACTTTTTCGGTACTCCTGCTTTACCAACATTACTTCCTAAATTGGTAAACCATCAGGGCTTAAAAGGGAATTTCACAAAAAGTCAAGGATTAAAATGATATGAAATTTTTTTGATTTTGAAAAAAGAGAGTACCGAATTTCATACTCCCCGTAATATTTAAAAAAAAAATTCCATGTGGCATAGCTAATGAAAAACATGGGAAACTTTGAGGTAAACAAAAAAAATTGAAAATGAATATGACATGTTGGGAACACGCGGTCAACTTTTTTCGACACGCAGTCAAAGCTCGGACACATTTTTTTTTAAATCTTAATTTTATTTTATTAACTAAATATAAAAAAAAATTATAAATTAATTTTTTTCTATTATGAAATTTGACATGAAAAATTAACAAAGTACGAAAATTTATTTTTATTTATATTTATGTTGTAAAATTTAAATATTTGATTGATTATATGACTTATTATGGACTCTTATATGTATTAAATATACATTATATTATATATATTAAAAGATTTATTTAATATCAAAGCGTGTCCCAACGTATCAAAATATGACATTTTTTAGAATTAACGTGTCGGTGTGTCGTGTCTTGTTTCGTGTCCGTGTCGGTGCATCATAGGTTATTGTTCCCACCATGGTAGTTAAAATCGGGATTTTACTTAAAATCGAAAGGAGGATAAAAAATCGTAAAACGTAAAATCTTAACGTAACAAAAATCGTAAAAAATCATAAAAACGTAAAAATGTTTGGAATTTTGATTAAATCGTTTTAATTAAAAAAAATCGTAAAATCGCAAATTTAAATGAGGATTTTAACTAACGTGGTTCCCCACATGATATGATCATGTTAACTAATGCATATACTAAAAAAAAAAAAAAAAATACTCCAATTGGAGGCTGCGTTTTCAAATCTTCAAACTGTTTTTGGTAAAGCAACCCACTCCTTCTAATCTCTCAGAACAAAAACCTTAATATTGAAATCATCCAAGCTCCTAAACGAAACACCGCAAAGCCCATAAATTTTGGCTAAAGCCCAAAGCCAAAATTTATGGGCTTAACATTCAAGCCCAAAGCCCGTAATATATTGGTATAATATAAACAACTGTTGGTATTCTGTGTCTGGCGATAACCAAGAACTGTGACTAATAGAAACATTGAAAGAGAATGAGCAAGCGTGGTGAGGGGTTTGAGTATGAGTTTGATATGAACTTCAGAAACATGGAAAGACAAACACAAACACATTTGAAGAACCCCAACATGTCACAAACAGTAACACCCATTAATCATGGTAACTGTAACTTCAAGACTAAACTGTGCACAAGATTCAGGCATGGTGTGTGTGCTTTTGGGTCCAAATGCAAGTATGCCCATGGCGTTGGCGAGCTTAGACGTTCAACGTTTCAAGAACCCCAAGTGTGCAGAATGTTCTTTCAAAACAAACATTGCCCCTATGGACACACGTGCCGTTTCCTTCATCCAAGTTCAGGGTATGGGTATGGTTATGGGTTTGGCGAAAGTGTTGATTCTCCAAACTTGGAGATTAAAGGCCATTACCCATTTGGAAACATTTCTCATACACAACTTCAATCAGGTATTTTTCTTCTTTAGTTTCTTTCTTTTCTTCCCTCTCTTGTCTCCATTATTTATTGTCTTTGTGTTTATGTTCCAATTCCTAAGCCAATATGAATTTGCGTACATCAACACTTGGGTTTTCAAGATCACCACTGAACTATTATGATCTTGTTTATTCGTTCAATATCTCAGAACAAAAAGGGTATTGTACAATTTATTGCTGGGGGATTTCTGTATGTGTGTATGAATGTAGGAGTGTGTATTTTTTTTTCTTGGATTATGTGTTGGCATTTGAGTCATTATCTGATTCTGCAACAAGCATAAACAATTATTTGAATCTTTATTTTTTCATTAGCCTTTGTGTTACGAGTGTGTTATTTTATTATTTTCTGAATTATTGGGTTGTATAAGTAGTGAGTAATTATTTGAATTTCAACCTTCTTAAAGGATAGGTCATAGCTATCGGTGGAGTCTATATAGTGTTAGTGGATAGTTATTTGGGAAAACTTCACCAATGCTCCTGTGATTTACTTCAGAATCACTTATGTCCATGTGGTTTTTTCTTATCATATATGCCCCACATATACCCCTGTGGTTTGTAAAAAGGTATATTTTTTATCACATATACCCCTGTGGTTTCTTATTTTTTACAAAGCACAGGGGCATATGTGATAGGAAAAAAAACCATAGGGGCATAAATGATTCTGAAGCAAACCACAGGGGCATTGATAAACTTTTTCCTAATTATTTTTAAGGTTGTCTTGAATTATCTATTTAAATCTTGAAGTATTTGAATAAAGATCGTCAGAAAATAAAAGAATTATTTGTATGCACTTGTTTGTGTACTCGAGGGATCCCTCAGTTGAACTCAAATCCCCTATTTTCTACCAAAATAGGTGTACTTAACACTTTGCTACTAATATTTATTAAAAAAAAAATCTAGGTATCTTCGTTCAATCAATCTTGGTCTTGTAAATAAATTCTGAATTTAGCTTTTGCGAATGCAGAACAAGGGAAACTTGATGGCTACACTTCTGCAGAACACAGGGTGATGCAAACTTCTACTGCTGCTACAAATGCCTCAACCAATACAGTGGCAACTAGCTCTTTGCATAAGAATGAACCACACGGTGTGAAGTGCATATTCAAGGAAAATGAACTACAAAGGATAAGTCGCATCTATGCTGATTGGATTTAAGATGTGTCCTGCACATTGCTTTCTGAATAAACTGGACTAGTGGAGAGCTACACTAAAAACTAGTTATTTCTATTAAGGGGAAAGGTTCAAGAATCAAGAGTTTTACTTCGGTGTCAATCTGACCAAATTTGTTTTGAGGAATCTGCTTTAGTATTTTTATTTTTATTTTGCCCCCTTTTGACAAGGTATATGCTACAGTATTTTGTGCAGAATAGATCTCTTTGTATAAAGCCTGACAAATTTATGACACTATTATGTGTAGCCACTTAGTACATCAATGACAATGGCCATTTTGTGATACCCAGTAGAGTAACCAAAACTATATTATATAAAGAAAAATAAAATAGAAAGTTTCAAAGAAATTAAAATCATAACCGGCACATATTCTCTTTGCAACTTTAGGAGCAAATGTCCACATAGTATTCCAATATGGTTATTCCTGTCACATCTTATATCAAGAACGATTCAAATTTCAAAAGACGATTTTACCATTGAAATGACATCAAATTAGTCAGCGAAAGATGAAATTGATGGCATTGACTGTCATTGATAAATCGAGGATCAATGTAATGTCACGTGTATCTTTGAAGGACCAAACTAAGTGTTTGCACTAGTTATCATGTACTAAAGAAGTGCACTAAATAATTTAGAACAAGTTTTATTACAGGATTGCTTTTTAAAATTTGCACAGATAAGATTTAAGCTTAAACAACATTGATTTGTACATGAATACAGAAGGAATACATGCTCTATACTCAACATACATCTTTGGCTTGATTACAATATTGGTGAATACAAAAGTTTGCATTAGTGAGATGCACAATATCAATGAGATCAGAAGAATATTGATACATAATGAAATACAACAGTTCCTTTCTGTTGTTGTTCTTGTTCATGTATTATCTCCAGAGGATCTTACCCATTTGATAGTTGACCGGGCTAAGGCGTCCATTGGATCAATACATTTCTTGAGAAGAGGATCATCTTGGGGCAAGAGATCACGCATATCATCAGAAGCAAGGATAATAGAATTAGTTGCTCTGACCAAAAGAACTTGAAGTGCAATTCTCAATAGATTGCATGCCCCTTCCATGTCCTTTCTGTTCAAAGCTTCAGTTGCAGGTATAACTGTATGCTCCATAGTTGCTCTATCAGGCAGTACAACCTCAAAGCCCTGAATATAAGTAAATAAGATGAAAACCTATTCACATCTCTAGTTGCTTGTCAACACAATTCAACATGGTCTTTACTCTATACAAGCATTGCGGAAAAAGTGAAAAACAAGTGCATGTCAAGTACATCCTTGACAGTCAACTCCATGTTCACAAATAAGAAAATGGCTTAATTGCAAAAACCAACAAAAAGTTGCATGTGCACATGTGTATACATACAAAATTCATTATGAACATACTGAAAAATGCCCTCTAGGTTTTCAGCAGCAGTGGTAACTTGTAAAAATGCACAGATGTAGTAGCTGTAGTTGAATAAAGATGTACCCATGTAGAATTCTTCCATTGTTCCTTCCTAATATTAAACATGAAGGTTTAAAAATATTATGTATGCAGAGAGATTATTCTTCAAAAAGGAAAGATATGATGATGAGAATAAGCAAACAGATGAACTAGTGCTCCATTAAGGTTATGTAAATAATTTCTGAAGTGTATGTTCTATTAAAGCAATTGCTCCTCATGATTCACCCTGTTCTGGATTACAAAGGAAAGATTAAGGGATAAAAAATTCCCTCCTTCGGAGGTTGTTTTTGTGTTCTTACAGCTATAAGAAGCAAACCAGTACTAAACTACTGATTCATTTGAACTCCAAACACTAGAGATTATGTATGGTGTTATTAAAGTTGATGGCCTGGCAGTTCATTTTGACATAGGAAATAGGTAAGGGGACAACTGAAGAAATTGGAACTTCATGAATCATGAGAAAGAAGTAGAACACATTGTTCCAGGGTTTTGTTTTGGCATATGAGAAATATTGTTGGCACTTTTCAAATGAAGTTAAGAAACACATAAACAATATAAACAAATTATATACTCATTGCAAACATACAGCCCTATTGGACGCTAACAAAGTTAGGTCCCAGCAAAGTACATAGATATGAAACTGAAAAGTGGTGAATTGCTAAAACATCAAATTAGGCATCTCACATTTGACAAAGTTTCAACTTTGAAGTGCCCTTTAATTAAACTTTCAAGTGCCCTTTAATAAAAAAAGTAAAAAAAAAAAAAGCATAGGGAAATTACTTCATTCCGAAGCTTCTCCTCATAAAAACCAGCTGCTAGAGTTGCATTTGTTGCGAGCACTCCAATCCTCAAAGGACTACCAGCTTCAATTGGCTTTAACTTGGCTTCCTTGAGCTCCTTGGCTACACACTCGGCCATATGAAGAAAAGGAACAGAACATCCCTTGGATACTTGTTCATACCAAGAATGTGACACGTTACAAGGCATCACTATGCAACGAGCCCCAGAATTCTCAAGAAAAACCCTCTTATTTATAAGACTCTGCACAATTGGAGATAAATCCAGTTTCAAACTTTCCGCTTTACTTGTGTTAGAAACAAAGTAACCCCTTTCATAGGACAGAAGCTCTTTATTTAACAAAGGATCCGAACAAAGTACAAAAGGAATGGAATTTCCTCCATCTTCTGAACTCAACACCACAAGTTTTCTTAAAAATTTGAGGGTGGCATTAACAGATACCCCTCCAATTATACCAACACTACTCCTCTGACTGATAAAAGGAGTAACAGATTCACCCCTTCCTGAAGCAAGGTTTGAGCCATGAAGCTTCTGAGAAAATTTCCCACTTTCATCTGCATTCAAAATAACTGAAGATGACCTTGCTTTGCATAAGTGTCTAGGAGTAGTTACACAACCTAATAATGTCTGGGGTGGGTAACTCAAGCTTCTCAATATGACATCCAACATCTCCAATGTCAAAACACGACCAAGTGAGAATTTTGGGAGTTGTCTCTGGAAACCACAACACCACCCAAAATGGTGTCTACGAAATTTACAACCCCCAGAACCCCATTTGGGTTCCAAAGTAAGAAGAGACTCAATGAGCAGGAACCAAACCCTTAGAAAAGCCCTTGTTGTGCAGACATGTGAGTTTCACAATTTCACCCCAAACTTCACCCCTTGTTTTCACCCAGACCAAACCAACAACGTTTTCTTTTACAAATAATGCAGCCGTTAATATTAACATGTGAGCTACATACCTATTAAGACCAGAATAGTACCAACTCACTGACATTATCTTTAATGCATTCTTTATAGTAAGTTTTACGTTTCATAATTACTATGAAAGTTCTGTTTTTTAATTATTGAATAAATGTGGAACATAATTTGATAATTAGAAAATATTTTAAAAAGTTATATTATTAACATTCATTTACTTATGAAAAACTTTATTCTCTGTTCTTTCCAACAACAAATATTCAGAGAGTCATTAGATCAAAAAAGATAACGACTCTGATTTGTAAGCATGCGACATCATTGATCTGGTAGGATCTTTTGACACCAGTGTCAAATTTAAAATTTGACATCTCATCTGAGAGCCATTAGATAAAAAAAGATCGACTCAGCATGTGACACCATTGATCTTTTTTTCTCTAATGGCTCTCAGATGAGGTGTTGAATTTTAAATTTGACCCTCATGTCAAAGGATCCTACCTCAATATATGAGGTAAGATCTTTGACACCTCATCTGAAAGTCATTAGATCAAAAAAGATCAACGACTCTGATTTATAAACATGTGACACTGTTGATCTTTTTTTATCTAATGGCTCTCAGATGAGGTATCATCTGAGAGCCATTAGATCAAAAAAGATCAACGACTCTGATTTGTAAGCATGTGACACCATTGATTTTGTTTATCTAATGCTCTCAGACGAGGTGACAAATGATTCTACCCCTATATATATATATATGGGCAGGATATTCTTACACTGGTGTAAGAGTTAGAAGTCTTACACTCAATCTTGATCATTGATCCACTTGTATCCAATGGCTCACATTACTAAAAAATTAGAGCCCTTAGATATAAATGGGATCAATAGACAAGATTGAGAGTGTAACTTACACTAATGTAAAATGATCCTGACATATATATATATATATATATATATATATATATATATATATATATATATATATATATGGGGAAGGTTATACTTACAACTTATTTTCCTTTACAACCTCTTACAACCAATATCTTAACTGTTGATTTCCGTCAATCAACGGTTAAGATTTTTGCAAATAAAATTTATTAAATAATTATTAATTCACAATAAATCTTAAGCTTTGATTGACGGAAATCAACGATTAAAATATTAGTTATAAGAAGTTGTAAGTATAACATCTCCCTATATATTATATATATATATATATATAACGAATAACCTAATATAATATATTATAACGAATAACCTAATATAATATATCCAAATCTCTTTATCACTAGATCAAAACTGGCTTCTTCTTCTTTTTCTCAATGTGTTCTATTGACAAAAAGGGTGCTGCTCGACACTTAAATTATTAACATACTACGGTGGAGTATGTAATTAGGGCTAATCGAGTACCTTATAATTATAGCAATGCTTTTTTACAAAATCCTGACAAATATGGGGAGATTATCATAGATGGTTATCCATAGAGAAATTTTTTATTTTATTTTTGGTACAAGATCCTTAGAGAATTCTAATATTGTGGAATTGTGAGTATTGAACCAAGGGTCAATATATAAGTCCCGAATAAATTAATCTAAATTATTCGATAAAATATTATAGAGGAACCAACGTAATATCATGACTTATATGAAAGTTTATTAAAAAAATTAAAATATATAACATCATTTAAGCAAATAAAGGTTGAATATGGAAAAAAAAAAAGAAGATAAATTTTAATAATTTAGTATATTTAAAAAAAATTAATAAACAATTTATTAATGTAGTTTTTATAAATGTTTAAAATAAATTTTATATAATATATTTAAATTTTCATATATATTATCTACGGTTTGAATATTAAAATCAATAAAAAAAATTCAATTTCCATAAACTTACATAAAACGTAACATTTCCTAATCCACACTTGTATTAAAAAAAAAAAAAAAAAAAAAAATCAACAACGAATGAAATTTACAATCATGGTTAGGTTTAATGACAATGAGTGCGACAAGGCCACAGCGGCATGCAATGCTTCCTTTGTCCCCCGTGGCCCCATCCCTATGGTGTACCTAACTCCCCGAGTTGGAGAAAAATTTAAATCCATCGAGATTATCAAACTCGATACTTTTTAGACTTAAAAGGAAATAAAAAAATAGGTAAAAAAGAATTACCGAGTTTGGTGGTTCCGGCTTTTTGACCTTAGTAGGTTGATTTTTATAAGGTTTTATCGAAATAATTTCTTGATCAAAAGTATTACCTATATAATGCATAACGACGCGGTACCATGGGAATCACGTTAGGACGTGGCACTTTAGCAACCGCGTTCTTTGCATTTGTTCCTGACGACTGGAACGTGATACCCAGGCAATCACGTCCTATTCCCAAGACGCGGTACACTCTTAGCCGCGTGCCAGTGCGTCCCATCCCAAAAAAAATTCAATAGAAAGCGGTAGTGTATATGCCGCGTTCCAAGTTACAAGTCAAGTCGGAGTCAAGCACATATATATGTTTCACCTAAAATGTAGGCATATTGATATATTCATTGTAAAAGAGTTCATAAAATCCAATAAATCAAATAGTACCCAATCTTATACCCCTGTTTTGTGTTTGGTCTGCTTTCCCGATTTCCAATATGTGAAAGAAACAATTTAATCCAAAATTTTAACGTGATGAGTGAGAGTTTTTTTTAATGATTTATATTAAGGTAAACAAAAAAAAATAGAATCTATGCAAAATTCATACTTCAAACTCAAAGGGCTTTCGTATGAGTGAGTGTGTAAGTGAATAACTTGTTGCTTTTATTGGATTTTTGGAACTCTTTTACCGTGAATATATCAATATGTCTATCTTTAGATGAAATATATATATATATATATGTTTGACTCTGACTTGACTTGTAACCTGGAACGCGACTTATACACTACCGCTTCCTGTTGAATTCTTTTTGGGATGGGACGCACTGACACGCGACTGAGAGTGTACCGCGTCTTGGGAATAGGACGTGATTGCCAAGGTATCACGTTCCAGTAGTCTTGGGAATAGGACGTGATTGCCAGGGTATCACGTTCCAGTCGTCAGGAACAAATGCAAAGGACGCGGTTGCTAAAGTGTCACGTCTTAACGTGATTCCCATAATACCACGTCGTTATGCATTATATAGGTAATACTTTTGATCAAGAAATTATTCCGGTAAAACATTATCAAAATCAACCTACTAAGGTCAAAAAGCCGGTGGTTCCGATATTATAATAACTTCAATCTATGGATTATTGAAAGGGTTTTATGAGTATAATGTTGTAGGATATAAGAAAAGTATCTTACTCTCACAATAAAGAAGAGAGAGAAAGTGAAATGATGAAAGAGAAAAAAAAACATATGGACCCCACATCTTAATTGTGTGTGTAGAAAAGTTTTATTATGTTATGTAACATGATACTAATAAAACCCTTATTGAAATTATGAAATGAGTAAGGATTTAATCATGATAAATGTGAGATAATTAGATGAAATATCTAATTTAATGAAATAAAGTTATTTTTGGACAAAAGTGCAATTAGTGAGAATTTTGAGATAAATACAAATAGGCAAAAGATATTCGAAACTTAGAAATAATGTAGTGAGACATTATTAAATGACTTTAGTGAAAGTTTAAAATCATATTTAAATTATTTAAAACATATTTTGGAATTAAATTGCTAAAAGGTTATAAAAGGAATTATTTGAACTGTTACTTTTTGACTTAGTCAAACTTCATTAAAGTGTTAAGACACACTAGACTTTGCTTAATCTCTCTTCTCCTTTGTTGTCCCTCTTTTCAAAACCGAAAAGGAGGCAAACTCCATAGCCAAGAGAGCTTGCTAATTTACTTTGAGTTGTGGTTATCAAAACAATAAAGTGTGGTCATGAAAAATGTTAAGGAGGACCTTGTGAGTATATCCCTCTAAAAAAACCTTTGTAAAAAAACATGGTGTGGAGAGATCTCTCCTCTTGAAAGTGGCGACCTAGGGAGTTTTGGGAAGCTTGGAGAGTTGCATTGCTTCTTTGGATGGTTGGAAAGTATCCCTTGGAGCATTTGAAGAACATCCATGGTAAGAAATCATATTTTCTCTTGAGTTTCATGGAAGTGGATATCTAGGTTGTTTTGAGAAAATGTACTTTAGATGATGATATTAGAGCATGAATTAGGCTTAAATCATATTAAAAAGAATGTTTGGATGATGATTTTCATGGTGAAAATATGTTTAGAAAATCATTTGGACAATCTTCATGAATTTTCAAAAATGTCATGCCTTATGTGTTTGATTACTTGTGTTTCAAGTAACCTATGTTGTGTTATTATATGGTGATTGTGTTCATTTGATATATAGGTTTTAATCAAGTTAACCTTTGAAGAGTAAACAAGCAATGAGTGATACTATGGAAATGGAGTTGAATCTTGAATGATTCTTGGCTAGGTAAGTTCATGAGCTTGTGCATTGGTATGAATTACCTAGTGTGGATGTGAATGTAGGAATATTCACTTGTTTGATATTTGATTGTGTTGATTGATAAAAAGCAAATTTTACCTTCTGATAGGTGTGATTTTGTTAACAAGCTATTGGTGGGGACCTTGTCAAGTTAGTTCTTGTGTGACTACTTGATTTGAAGGAAAGCATAATTGATTGGGAGCTTCGAGAGGTAAGCTTTCGGATCTTGGAATTTATCTCTTTATTGTTTCCACCGAGCCCGTGTGGGTTGTGATTTTATTTAGTATATGTAAATGCAGTAAATTGAGATATAATGCATTATATGTGTTTGCCTTGTGTGTTGTACAAGATTGTAGCTTATGTATTTTATAAGGTAGCACCTTATACATGTGTGTTGCAAGATAGCGTCTTGCATAATGCATACATTATGTTACAGGACAACGTCGTGTAATGCATACAGTGGTATATTGTAGGACAGCG